GCAGCAGCTACTCAGAACAATCTCAAAAAACAGATCTTTATGCAGGAAATACTGAGAACCTTGTAGGGTGATGGATACACTGTAAGGAATGCACCCCAACTGAAATTGCACAATAGGAAATCCTTTTCATTTTTAATTCAAAGTTACAGGGTTAAATTCTGACACCACACACAGCAAGAGCAAATTCCCATTTTACTCCTAAGCTGTAACTAGAATGTCCAAAGAATGTTTTTCCTCAACAAAACGTAAGATGGAGAAAGGACATATTCCACTAACGGAGATAGGAGTTTATGGGCCAGTGGGCTGATCTTAAGCCTTTACAAGTCAGTGGGAGTTAGAGGACTCTTGGATTTGCTTGGCCCTTCTCTTTTTTTACATCTGGAAAAGCACATTTGCTACCTGGTGTTTCTGATCAGAGTTGTATAATTCACAATAGGAAAAAAATAAGAATGAGAAAAGACAACAGCAATATGAACTTTTAAAATTAACATTGGTCAGATCATGGTTCTTGGCACCAAACTTTAAAACACAATCAGAGAAAAGCAGCACATTTTTACTGTTGAGTTTGCTTATGTTACAGGTGATATGTGTCTATAGGTTAACAAGAAGCTCAATGTTTTCTTTGTCCTGCATTGTCATTAGCCATTCCTTTTGAGCTGGATATTTAAATTTCCTTCCTGCTCTAGGGATCTGAATTTGAGCACAGCCATGCTGCTGGCATAGGCTAAGCTGAATTTGCCAGGTCACTCCATGGCTGAGGAGCTGCTGCTCTGGTTTATTGTGTTAGAGCTGATTCACACACTCTGTCAGCCAGCACCATCCCTTCAGAGATTCCTTTTAAACAGAAAACAGAAGCAAGGTACAGGGAATCTCTGAACCAAATGAATCCCATTTTCTAAAGCACACAGATACCAGGTTGAGTCTCTTGCTGTATCTCAGCCATCCTGTGTACCAGGAAAAAGCATGTCTATATTAGATTTGGCTACTGTATAGTTAAGCCATTCCTGATATAAATCAAACTGCATGATGTTGCTGTGAGGTGACATCAGATGTGGTATCTCATACTGAGGCAGGATCTTACATCTTTGTGCTCTCCAGAAACTCTCTGTATAGTTTATAACTTTAGCAACTGTTGTTTAACTGCACTTCAAATTGGAGTTATAAATGAATTATTAATGAAGATATCTGTCTTTGAAAAATGCTTTTACACATTTTAAAAGGAAGTTGTGACCACCTACAAGAGTATGATCATCTCTGAACATTTGGTGTTGGCTTTTAGTCATGTTTTCCTGAACATTTTTCGCTCCATACAATCGGTACAATATTTGAGAAATGGCATTTACTCTAAGAAAATTATCTTTGATTCAGTTTCACTATCAAAAATGGAGAAATGTAAGAGCATATTTCAAAATTTCTTGTAAGTAAAGCAACTTTAAAGTAAAGCAGCTTTCAGTACTGAGGCATTTTCCCTCCATACATTATTTTGCTAATTTTAAAGTTATTTTTTGGCCATTTTCTTGAAAGTACTAGAGAAATATAAGGACTTATGAGCTTTTCTGGCAAACTGGTGTGGTGAAGTTCTTCATCTGCTGCAGCAATAAAAATTAGTTAAATCTTGGGTTCATGTACTGACTTCAGTATAAATAGTGCTGAGGGTCATGTGCTCATGTGAACAATGAGGTTCAATAAAATGGGGAAACTAATGGAATTTTTTATGTCCCCACCTGTCACATTTTTGTAACTTTAGGACAGGTTTCAGTGTCCTCTTTCTTGCAGTTCTTAGGTCTTCCAAAGTTATGGTCTTGTTTCCATTCACTTTCATTCTTCCATTCTCAATTTTTGGGCCCTTCTTGGTCCAAGCAGCATCCAGAGCATTCTCCCTGCTGCCTCCAGCTCCCTTGTACCTGAGAGCTTTGGCAGTCCACAGGGACTGTGTGGATGCAGAGGAGGACAGGATCTTGCCCACAGCAGCTCTCAGTGCAGTGGGGGGGCTGTTCACCTCTGCATGAGATTTACAATCTTGTAGCTTTTCAAAGCTGCCATGACTGACAGTAAGAAACACCAACTGCAGCTGGATTGTGCTGTGGGCACTGCCACCCAGCCACGGACAGAGCCAGCTGCAGTGGCCACTGGGGTCACAGCTCAAACCAGCCTGCTGTGTGGAGTCTGGTTCATGAGCAGCTGTAGCACACACGCCCTAGAGCAGCACCTTCCAGCAAGGGGAAATGCTGGAGAGAATGGGTTAGTAACCCCCCAAAGAAATCTGGGACGTGAGAGTGCTACCCTGCAGCTGCTGCACTGCAAAATGAGGACCTCTCTGTATCACTGAACTTTAGCAAAGTGTCTGTCCTTTGTCCCTCCCATGACTGACCTAATACAGTATTTTCCTTTCTATTTTACAGTGAATGACAGGAAGTATAATGGTGGGTTGCTTGAGTTCCACATTTATTCCTTAGTAAAGGCATAGATGAAGTTTTGATTTTTAATGAGTGATCTCAATAGGAATGCACTTCGTGATGATCCACTGAGATGCATGAGATGACTTTCCACAGTGTCCCCAGTATCAGTTAATTTACAGGTCTTCTTCTGAAAGCATTTACAGAGTGTGATTAAGCAGTACATTTTGGGCAGTTGTTTGGTGTTAAAAAGAAAGCTTAGATGAAAAGATTGTGTTTCCAAATAAGATAATAATGCAGGGTCAGAAAGATCTGTAGCTAGACTGAGTGCCAGTATGAAAATGGAAAGCAGAACAGTGAATTTGTCACCAAAAATTTGCTTTATTAGTAGCCTCAGCAATAATCTAAGAGCTACTGAAAAACTTGAGGGATAGGAGTATGTGCAGGGCTGGTTCTGAGTAAAGTAACTGTGACATTTAGTAATTGAAAGCAATGAATCATGAAACTGGAGGTCTGGAACCAGAGGTGCTGAAGGTTTACTAATCATTTGTTAATTTAATTTTAGCGTCAATATTAATTGCTCATAATCTTGAATCTTTGGGAGTTCCTGGAGTTCCAAATAATCTTGTCAGTAATTTTGAAGTGGTGGGTTAGTCAGGCCATAGAGTGCACACAATGTAGTTAAGTCTTTTAGTGACTTGTAAGTTTGAAAAAAGACGTCCAGAGTTTTTTTACAGTACTGCATCATGTAATTACATTGAGAGATAGTGCAGTTCTTCCAGGGACTCTAGTTTTCCAGTTTTTGGAGGGGCTCTTGTTTTAATTTATTTTCTGTAGCTGTATCATTTGAAATAAATCATAAATTCCAGAAGTTTAGAAATTTGGAATAATGTAAAGCATAACTTAAACACAGCCATACAAATGTTATAAGAGCCCTAAAATGTGTTGCATATGCTGTTTCATAGGTTGAAATAGCAGGTGCCAGTGAACGCTTTTAATGTTAAATATATACAGGGTAAGATTACACGGTGTTCACTCCTACACATTTTGTTGAAATAAAAACTAGTGTGATGGAGAAATTCTTTCCTATGTTCTTAGAGGGAAAATAGAGATTAATCTTGTGTCCCTTCAAAAGAAGAATTTGTGAAAGGTCAGAAAGGGCAGATTATGTAGTGTTTAACACCTTGTGTGTGCACTTGTGCTTGTGATGCTACTACGTAAATGCACAGGATCCTTCTAATGTGGCTGCTGGCGTCAGGGGAAAGCTTCTAGAAATCACTTGAGGCACTCCTAGGGAGGAATTTGCAGTTCTGCTGCCCACTGTCCCCAGGCAGCCTTCCCAGGCACTCCAAACAGCATGGAGAGTGTCTGCTTTCACAGCTCACCTTGCACATCCTGCGTGTTCCTGAACAGACTGCTAGTTTTAATCACCTTTGTATTAATAATCAACTGTTGTTTTGAATTTGACAGTAACAGGAGAATGAGTTAGCAGTACCAAGCTGTATGAGCAAGTAACTATCCTGGGCCAAATTATGCTGTCTTTCATGGCAATATTCCTCCAGAATGCCTCTGTCAGAGAGAGGGGAATGACTGCAAATTTAGCCTGTAGTTCCATCCTGACTTATGGACTTTTGCAGGCATTGGAAGTAACATTCAACAGCAATGTAATGGTTATAGCTCACAGTTAGCAAAGGAAATCTTGTCCAACATAATTTTCCAAGTGCTCTTCTGAAGTATTTAAAAATCGTTTTTATTGAGGTTGTTTCTACTGTTTGTTTAAGCAAACTATAGTCAAATTCTTGGACCCATGAGGTCAGACAGTAAATTCCTGTTGGCTTCAAATGGGTGAGGATCTCTCTGCTCAGATTTTCTGAAACCTGATTCTGGCTGAACTCCTTCCTGCCTTGGACAACTCCCCTTTTGTGAACATGTGCTAAGAGGACCATCACGTCAAGCCGAGTATCAGATAGCCAAGTCACTCGCTGCTTAACTTAGCCGTCCAGCGCTGCCCCGGGGCACAGGACTGCCTTCTAGGAGTGGGATTTCACACCTTCCCAGTGGAATTACCTTACCCAGCCAGGGAGCCATCTGCACCAGAGAAAGTGCCGTCAAGAGTTTCAGTGAGAAACAGAGTTTGGAAACTCCTGTCTGAGAACAGGCATGAGGGAGGGAGTACCTTTTCCTCCCGGAGGATGGTAAGTGGCTTTCAGAAAGCCTTTCTTCTTCACTTTCTGCAACCTGCCAAAACAAACCAGCATGCTTGGCTCTGCTGTATGATGTGTAGCACTGCACACAGATTGCACTGTTAGAGACCACTTTGCTTACAGATCCAGGAGACTCCTCCTGCTGCCTTTTTTTATTTCATTGTATGTTGTGTTAGCTTAAAATCACTTTGCTCTAGCCCCACTTCAGCTATTGGGCTTTTATTTTATCTATGTTATTGCAGTTCTGACAAAGAAAAGGGTATTTTTATACAACAGCCATGATGTGTAATGTAGTTTTTCCCCATTCTTCAAGAGTCAGCCCCTCTTCTCATCCAGCAGGAAAGGGAGATGCTCACAAGGGTCAGAGGCAAATAACATCTTCCTGAGGCCCATAGGAATGACTCAGTACTCACAAGAAGTGGGGACCTACACTAGTAGGAAAAAATTATGAAAACACAACAGAATTATGGGGGTCTCCTATTGCCCAGAGCTTCCAATTTCACATCAAATAAGCAAATAAGCCAACAGCATTAAAACAAGGCAAGCAAATAATTTAACAGGCAGGATGTCATGAGGAGAAACAGATGAAGGGTATATGCTGTTGTCTAAAGCCCTCATGTAAACTGTAGTGGAAGATATTTTTTTAAGTCATTAAAAGTTCATACACTATAAAAGAACACCCTGATCAGATGTGTCCAGAGTATGATCGTGTGGTCACATCAAATATTAGAAAGGGTTCCTTTAAAATGAATGAAAATTGTCAACATTTTCCAACTTAGTGACTACTAATAGACCTGTGTAAAATATTTCAGGTATTTCTTTCCCCACGTGGCATTTTTAGCAGCACATATTTTCACAGGCACTCATGAAAAGTTATAAGCACCTTCAATGACAGGATTCCTGAAACACCTCTTAGCACTGGAAATTAGCATGGCTTTATCCTCCTACCACACTGCACACCAGTGGCCTGACCTTGGGGAGCAGAGTTGCTCCTGGCACTTGCTCTCCTCTTGTCTCCTGCCTGCCCAGTGTTTGGGGCTAAGGTTACCTAGGGCTTGGCTTGAGACAAGGGGATATGTGTGGGATTTATGCAGCACAAAATGTCTTTTTACTGAGACAGCATTATCCATCCATGTATTTATGTAGCACATGAATAAGTAAAATTTTTCACAGCTAAGAGAGTCCCAGGCCTGCTGCTGAGGTTGTTTCACTCTATACTTTTAGTTCTGCTCATGGATTTTTCTTTTTACAGCCATCAGGTTTTTCATTTGAAAAGGCTATGCTACATGGGATAATTTGGTTTGTATGTAACTTTCAGGTATCACAATGTCTTTTTTCAGTGTCGTTCATGTGCTCAGGAACTTTCACAGCCCTGCTTGGGGCCTGTCCTGATGCACTTTGCCCAGCGCTCCTTATAGCAATAGTCCAGTTCCTGAAGAGCCCAAGAGTCTGACCTCATAGTGTGAATATTCATCCACAAAAAGATACAAGATATTTTCTACACCTGGTGAACACAGCTAGCCTGTGTGTAAAGTTGTGTCTATCAGTAGCTGCTTAATGGTATCATTGGATAATATTTTATTCTTTTTCTATCTGCAACTATGACTCTCTCTGTCAAAACAAACTATCCTGCTTGGTTATGAACAAAGAAAGAACCATGTTCACTTATATATCTCTTTCTTGCTGCAAACACCCCAGATTTGAGCACTTTAGTGGAAGTGCTAGTGCAGTGTGTCATGACACAGCGAGGGCCAGCAGCGCCCGGCAGTCAGGGCTGGGGTGCCCAGGGCCAGGGCAAGAGAAAACAGAAATAGTCCTCTGTGACCCCAGGGGCTTCCTGGCAGTGTGAGTCACTGTCTGTTCCCCAAAGCCTGTTCTGAGTTTTCCCTGGGATTATGTGCTTTTCCCAGTAAATTCTGATGTGGCAGAGAGCTATGGCATGTACTGACCTCTGGCTTCTAGTCCTGGCCTCTAAGAGTGATTGAACTGGACACGTTCTGCCCATCAAACCTCTGCTCCAAGACAGCTCTGTGGTCTAGCTCAGGGCAATCTAATTTAAGCAATACATGTATTTGGAAACCATTGGGACTGCTAATTATCATTCTGGAATAATATGAAATTTCAAACCGATGAGATATGAGATCAGGCCCACTGCTAATGTAGGCACACACAAAAATGTCCCATTTCACTTTGCAGAGGAGGGAACTACTTTGTCTAACTTGTTTCTTTGACCTTCATAAAGCATTAAAACACACACCAGAAAGGATCTTTTTTTTACTTTGAAAGATTTAAATTTTGCATTGTTTTGAGGTTATGTGAAGTTGTTTTATCTTCGTTGAAGATGGGTTTATTACTTCTTGTTCCATGGCACTACCAACATAGAACCCAAAAGTATATAAAAGATCTAAATAATATTTACTTCCAATGTTTTGGGAATAAAAAATATCAGAAAACTGAGAGAAAATAGTTAAAGTAAGGTGGCAACATAGACTTGTTTCTTCTAAAGATAACAAAGTTGGTGATTAAACTGTATGGAAAAGCATAGTTTTGTATAGCAGGAGTTTCTTACCTTTTGTTGTTGATGTTCAAGTTTGGTACAAGCATTTGCTTTGAAGAAGATTTTTGAAGGAAAACTAGAGGCTGATGACTAATCAAAGGGTGAGTGTGTTTACCAAGAACTTGTCTGACATCCTGGTTTACTCTTGCACTCAGTCACATTCAGGTGAGAGAATTTATCCAACCATCCTATATTGCTTCCTACACATCCAGTCATCACACAGCTTTTACTGCCTGCTTAGGAGCAAGGAATTCAGCCCTACCTCCAACACCTTCTTGGTGAATGTCCAAACTTCTGGGCCTTTGCCTGGTGTTTTTCTTCACTCTCTTTCTCTATCTGATTTAAAATAAAACATTTATAAAGGTGTCTTATACCTTGAATAATCTAATGAGTAAAAATTCCATCAAAACCAAAATTGATGTGCAATCAGCAAATTTTATAATCTAAAGGATATTATGGGATATAGTACTTGATACACATCCTGGAATCTCCAGGAGGTCCCTTCTTTCAATCTTTACTTTCATTTCTAGCTCTTTCTTCCCTCTTCAATAAAAACAGGCTTTGGGCCAAGACTCTTTGGTCAAAACCAAGTTTTCCTCTCCTGTGCTCCGTCTTGCTGGCTGTTACCTCCAGTGCTGATGCATTTTGTGCCTGTCTGTGTACATTCACATGTGCAGCCAAGCTCTGACATGCTGCAGTATGTGCACCATTCCTCAAGCATGTTGGGATCTTTCCCAGGAGAGCTGTATAGCTGTAAAATATTTTGAATCCTCTACTTTTTTTCCATAAATCAGGTTGTAACATCATTATTTTTTGTGCCTCTCACACTGAACAAATTCCTTGCTATGATGTAGCAGGGATATTAACAGCCTGGTGCTGACCAGAGGAGCAGGCTAAAGCCAGAAAGGAGGGAGGAGGTGAGAAAAATTAGTGCTAGAACTAAGTGTGAGTGCCATCAGTTCAGTCACTGGGAGGATTAGGCTAAGACTGCAGTGTTTAACACATTGGCTTTAAACACCTTAGTAGCCCTACTGAAGTCATCAAGAGTTTTTACTATGATTAACAGCTGGGTTGAGTCCTGGACTGTGTGAGCCTCAGTTTTATTTGTCTGAAAATTTAGTTAACAATTTGTGACTTCATATCATCAACATGGTTATTGTCATTTCTGTAGTTCATTGATCTGCAGTGGGCGTTTTCTCTGAGGTCTGTCCCACAGCTTTCAGTGGCCATGCAACTTTGTTCCTAATATTTTTATTTTGTTGCATTTAAACACTAAAAAACTGGGCAAAACTATAAAAAACTCTTTAGTATTTAGGCTTATTTTAATATTAAAGCTTTTTTTTTTTCCCGTAGGCTTTTCAATATTGTGTTGGCCTGGTGTATTTTAGCAAATGACTTTGCCCATCCCATTTCTACATGTTTCCCCTGCACTCACCATTGCTCAATGCAGTTCCAGGGGAGGATTGTGCCAAGTGGACAGTACACCTAACATAGGTGTACTGATAGGAAAGACTTAGCCATCAAACAAAAATAGCATTAAAAAAATCCCAAGTAGACTTGAAAATCTGTGCCTGGAAAAGTGGGAAAATTCAAATTCTTCACAGTAAATGATTCACTAACTGTAACAAAATACGATGGCCAGTATGAAAAAAGGATTTTGGAGCTGCCTACTCCTGAGTATATTTTAGGTGCTGTTTTGCAGGGGGTGGCAGAGTGTCTGTGTAACTGATACTTTCTACAACTCCATTTCTATCTTTGGGAAGCTGCAACTGGCATTTTAGAGCTCAGCATGTCAAAATGCCGCTTCTGTCCCCCTGAATGCCTCCTTGGGTGCAGGAGATGGGCACCACGGGGCACGGTGTTGGCATGGCACTGTGTGTGGCAGGGTGGTGAGCGGGGTGGCAGGGCTGTGACACTCTCACGGGGCTGCCATGGGTGCTGCCTGGTGACACTCAGTGGCTGGAGCGCACCGCGTGCTGCAGGATTGGCACTGGCACACGCTCTGCCTGGGAGGTGGTGGGCTGTAAAAGAGAAGGTATTTCCCGGTGCCTACGAGAGGAAATCCATGCCCAAGCGCTGTTGTCGTCAAGCCTGGCGCAGAAGCCGCTGTGCTGGTGAATATTTGTGTAATGAATTGTGTGCAGACTGTGTCCCTGTCCTTCCCCATGGAGGAGGACCCAGCCAAGCTGAAGACACTGCTGTGTAAGTACTGACCCACCCCTGGTGAGCAGAGGAAAGCTGGGTCAGGCAGAGCCTCTCCAAAGATCTGTGCAGTGGAGCCAAGGGGTGGGAGGGGAGCATCTCCAGCTCAGACAGGGAGTTTTGGACCTAGGCTGGGCACCAAAGAGAGAAATCTCATGGCCATGGCAGATGCTGTGCCTCATGCCCACCTGCACCACAGTAAGCATTAGACCATGCCTGAAATGAAAGATAAGATTCAATTCAAAGAGCAGGCACAGCAGAATTCCTGAAAAAATGGCTCAGCCGTTCAGGAGGAAACATTGCAGATAAGTGTAATTCAAAATTCATAAGAACATTAATGGACAAAATCCATATTATGGTTTAAACCTGTTTTACTCACAGTACTATCTAGTGTATAAGGTAAGCGTGGTTTTGTGATAAAAGTCTTTTATCTTCTTTTGCACCCTTTTTTTTTTTACAAAAAAAATATTGACATTTCTGCATTCTAATTTTTTTCCTGTTTGAACACATAATTTTTTATTACTTTTTTTAGTAAGCTTTCTTAAATTTATTCCTTTTGCTTTGTTTTCTGCTATGAATCTGATCATTTGCTTAATCTATTATAATCTGTTATAAATGCTAAATAGGCTTCAAGCCGAACACAAAAACTACTGAGATCCAAAAAAGCTGCTTTTATTACGGATTCTATAGGGGATTCTATAGGGGATTCTAGGCAAACCAGGCCCCAGTTCTAGGGTCTTGGCATTCTAAGACTTGTGAATGAAAGGCATATGCATTATTAAATGTATTCAAATACCCTTAATAATAAATATACATTTCCTTCACGAACACAAATTGTGCCAAAGTATTGCTGTACATGTTCATTCTCAAGACAAGAGCAGAGATGTACCTGGACAGCCCCTGTGAATGTACCGTGTGCATTTACTTACACACAAATTGGGGAAAAATTCTTGGGGAAAAATTCTTGGGGTGGACAGCCCCTGTGAATGTACCGTGTGCATTTACTTACACACAAATCCTTAATTCTTGGGAAAAAAAATGTGGGGACATTCAAGACATCACATTTGCCAAATAAGTGTTCAGAGGAAGTTTTCTGAGCTGCAGGTATACAGTGATGTCCAAAACCAATGAGCCCTTTCAGAAGAATTTACTGTTACTGATTTCTGTTCCAGTCTAAAGCCTCTGAAGACACATTTTCAATTGTGAACTCCCCGCTGAACTCAAATGAAGTCACATTCTCAGCTTCAGAGGGGCTGTGACATGTACTTACAGCTAAACATATGCTAACCTCCCCTTTTGGATCAGGATCACATTCTCCAGTATTCCACATGCATGAAAACATGGGGTTTCTTAACTCTTGTGCCTTCCTGTTAATGAAATATCACAGAGTAGGATAGGTTAATCCTTATAATTTGCATGGAGTTCATTAAATCATTTTAACAAAATTTAACAGTTATATTTAGCTTGATACTCAGAAATGTTAACACCCTGCTTTTAATGTGACAGATTGGATTTGGAAAGCAATATAAAACGTGGGTTTCAGTGTGTAGAATTTTTTATTTCCACAACTTAAGGATGTTGTTAAGATCCATGTGTCTTTTTAAGACCTATTCGACCATTTAAAATCCAACCAGTGCTAGATTGCCAAAACCATTTATCTTTCTTAGATTTTAGTGCTCTGGAGAAGTTAAAACTGGGATCTTCTATTACCTTTTTTTTTTAAAGAAGTAGTTAGAAATAAACACTAGCTATGTTTCTGTTGTTGGCATTGAGATTTTTATTCATAAAATTAGAGCGTTTCAAATAAGAGTAAGCTAACTTTGCAAAGGAAAAGCATACTTAATCTATGACCAAGACAGTTATTTGTATGTTTTTTCTCTCTTTTTTTTTTTCCTTCCTCCATCCACCTCCCCCAATAGGTGACGTGCATGCAGTGGTTGCAAGGGGACCATACCATGCTGGACATGATTGAAAAAAAGCGTTGCCTCTGCAAAGAGATCAAAGCTCGACAGAAATCAGAGAAAGGACTCTGCAAACAGGACAGCATGCCTATTTTGCCAAGTTGGAAAAAGAATGCTGGGACCAAGAAATACAGTCCTCCTCCTTATTCCAAACAACAAACTGTTTTCTGGGACACTGCAATTTGACAGGCCTGTGGAGGATGCCCTCTCCACTATGTGGCACCAAGCACAGGTAGCCTGCTTTCTTTAAAAGGCAAAGGCTCTAACCTAAGACTTACCTGCAGGTGGTGAACTTCCTAGGAAAAAACACACCAGTACAGTGCTCACCTGCCAATCAAGAGAGAGATTTAAGTTTCCAACTGGATTAAGGCATACATATTCATCCAGGATTTTTTTGGATCCAGAAGATATCAAAATGTAAATATTTCACCAATATATTGAAAACACCCAAGCTAACACACTGTTTAAATATATAAATATATATATATAAATTCAAAAATTTATGGAGAATTTTACTATATAATGTTACTGTTATACCGTTTTATTACCTATTTTCTATGTTCTATTCTACTGTTCAGCCCCGCCCCTGCCGCCACTGTTTTATTTCTCTGACCTGCCTAGATGTGGCCTCTGTACAAAAGCATGTGGTTGTACGTGTTGTTGGAGAGGACAATGTACAAAACAACTTGGTGCTAGGGCTGTAGAAGATAACTAGAGTCGTACCTGTTAGATGTCCTCAGCTAGGGGGGTGGGATGGACAAAGGAGAGAGTTCTGGTGGGAAACAGCAAACCTGCAAGCAGTGAAAGTAGAAGTGCTCAGTGCGGCTGCCCAAGTTGCATTTAAAATATTAATTGTTCTGCATCTGTTTTCCCATAATGGTAACCAGATTAATTGTCCTTGGTTTTATATGAACCATTTACTAAAATGATTTGGCCAAGGAACTAAATTTTTTGCAGCACGGCCTGCGACAGAATCTCTTCCTTGAAGACGTTCCATTGATTAGCAGAGACCATGGTTCACTGTGACTAAGCATTGTGCAGCCCTTGGCAGAGAGAGCCGGTGGCTCAGCGGGGTGAGGCAGTGCCACTGCAGCCGCCACCCCCGTCCACATTTACCGATGGTCCAGAAAATAAAGGCGACAAAATATGTTTACATGTTTATTATTTTTAAATCCGGCAGCACATCCTTACTTATGCCGTGTCAGATTTCCTCGTGTTGTTTCTGTGGGCTGGATTTCAGACCCCTTGAAAGGCTGTTGGGAAATCCCTCTTGATTTCATGCTGTTTGGAAGCAGAAGCCCACGTAACGCGTTCTCCCGGCTGTGCCGTTTCTTCCTCCTGGCTGCTTCTGGAATTGGCTTGCAATCCTGTATTATATTACATCCATTTTAACAGAATATTATGTCATGACCAAAGAATTATGACCTCCTGGTTTTAACGGGAGAAAGGGATGGCTTATAGTGATTATGAGGGTGAAATCTGTGAGGTGAAATATCTTCCAAAAGGATCTGTTGAGGATGAGGGAAAATTGTACTGCGGTGGAGTAGGGGGGGAAAAAAGATCTATGGCATATATTTTGTATATTAAAATTTCTATCTATGTGTCTGAAGTTTGGTAGTACAAAATTCCCTCTTTAAAACAATCATTTTAATGTTATATTCACCAAGAAAAAAAGGTGTGTTGTTTGAAACTTCTTGTTATATTGGCTTTTCTTTAAAATTATATTGACAGCATTGCCACAGCTGTAATTGCTGATCAAAAAAGACCAAAAATAACAAATTTTAGAAGGTTTTTGTAATCTATATTGCTAAAGTTTGAGTTTCAGTAATGTTTTATCAGTAGTAGTTTCTTTTCAGCCTCTGAAATAAAGTTTTTAAATATTTTATAACTAACTAATGTATATTTTGATGTCCAAACTGAGATTTCTGTAAAAGATGAAGTGTGTGTTTATATGTGTGTATGTATATTAGCATTACTGTATATGTATATATGCATATGTGTACACACATATACATGTATATATGCATGTATCTATATATACCCATAGATGTGTGCATACATATATCTGCATATGTTAAATATTGGTGTGTTAGGAATATATAAAGTCTGGAATAGGTACGGAGTTGAAATGCAGATTTGAAGACCCCCTCACAGTCAAAATAACAGAAGACATGAAAAATCCCGGAGGCTGTGAGGGAATCTTTGAACACATTGCATCCAAAAGACACCAACTGTTTATTCTGCTTATTCTCTCTTTTTTAAAGAAAGAAAATGGCAGAAGAAAAACTCCAGAGATCTCAGAAACTTCCAGAATCTGCTGGAAAGAAGACGACTTCTTGGTCATGAGAAATCTGTTGAGCTAACAGGGTTCATTATTCAGCAAGTGTTCATGGTTTGTCTTCCTTGTAATGTGGCAGGAGAAGAATTTCCCATACCCACGTGTGAAATACTTAGCTCAGCCCTTTTCCCCAGCTGCACAAAGTCACTGGTGACAAAACGCAAGCAGGCGTTCCGTCAGCTCTGCCAGTCCTTGTCCTCACTGGTGTCCTCCTGGAGCAGCTCCTTTAAAGCCGCGCTGCCAGAGCGTCGCTGGCAGTGCAGACCCTGGGCACGCCTGCCAGGGGAAGGCAGTGTCCGTGTGAACGGTTCTGTCCTTGCTAGTGTTTGTTCATATCGTGTCCTTTCCATATCGAGATGTAATAGGAATAATGATCAGGGAATTGAAGCGTTCTTGTCCTAGAGCAGACTTGCTTGTACACTCAGCCCACTGCAAACTCCTTGTTTTGCTTTTATTGCTCAACACTGTTTATGTTGTCCTTCCTAAATAACTGCCCATGTGCTTCCAGACCTCCATTGTATCCCATGGAAACAATGGCTTTTTGTTTTAAAGTGCGACAACACGAAAAAGTAAAACATAACTTAGCACTTACCTTCAAAGCACTTTAGAAATCTGAAGTAAACCTCATGCTTGCGAGAGCCGTTTTACTGAGGAGGGACGTGAGGCTCAGGCAGAGCAGTTTCCAAAGGTCAGGGACAGAGGTAGAGCAGGACACAGCCACTGCCCTGTCCCGTGACTGCTGGCCCACCCCATGGCTCGAGTAAAAGGCACATCGTCCTGCCGAGAGCTGCCATCACAATGCTGTCACACATCTCCTACATCACCTCTTGTCTCAGCAGCTTCTGTGTCACAGGGTGAATGACAGTGCTTAGTTACACACGGTCATTAAAGCTGTAGTCTGTATAAATATGCAATCTGTATATACATACAGATCACATATATACACACACTTATGGAGACTGTATATATGAAATTGTTTGGTATGCACTTATTTTGCTTTAAACTCCTGAAGTTAAACATTATAGTGTAGCAATTTGTGTAAGGTGCACTGTGATTTCAAGAAAGCACAGTAAAGTCACAGGTCTTGTTATTCTTGCACTAAAAATGTGTTTACGTATATTAGCCAATGTATGTCTACTTTATCGCTCCTTTTGACAAATTAAAGCAAATGGTATAAAATAGTATGGGGTTTTTTGGTTTGGGCTGTTTATTTTTAAGTGGACAATGGCACTATGTTTTTAAATGACAGGGTTTTTAAATAAAATGAAATCATTCTGTGTTCATTCCAATGTAATACATTTACCAATATCTTGAAACTGAATGTCATGTTGCTTTTTTTTATATTTCATTAGAAATTGTCAGGTATGTGCCTGAGATTGTGTAGGACTAAGGAGTAGCTAGAGGCTAACTGTAACCATATATTATTAGCCGTTTCTATATACACAGTATAAATACATATTAATTTTCTTTTCATTTTTGTACTTGATTTTTTTAGGTAAGATGTAATTAAATGTACTTTGATACTTCTGAAGTAATAAGATGTTGTTTGAAGATCAATTCTGCTTTCTTTAGTGCATTGACAATATTTTACAATAATTTAGTGCTTATTTATTTGTGCTCCAGTGTAATTATAATAAAAAGCAATAGTTTAAAATATTTGGCTGCTCATTTTTATTTGATAGTTTAAGTTTAGAGACAGGTTATTCACTAGGGAATAGCCAGGGACTCCTGGGAAGAAAAGTCAAGTCATAGATGTATATTTATAGCATTACCTAGGCACATTTTTAATAGTACCATTTGTTGGAGGAAATGAATTAATTGCTTTAATAGGTTAGTATTTGCAAGTCATGCCTCCTTGCATCTAATGCCATGAGTGCCATCCTCAACTAAATCCTTAGGATAAGATTTCTCTGAAGAGCAGATAAATTTTTGTCTAAGCACCTTTCACAGTTTGGAATGGCAGATGCTCACTTCAAAGACACCCCCTTCAAAGATCTCCATTTGCAGAATATCCCCAAATGTGAGAGGGACCTATCACACTCTCCGTGAGGCTCTAAAAAAATCTGCTCAAAAGCATAATCTTCCTGTTTCCAGACAAAAGCTTTAGTCCCATTAGGATGTAAAACCCAGCGCTTGCAGAGGAATTCCACAACTTTTTTAAGAAGACATCCCTCCTAATATTTTTAAGAAGGCATTTTGTAATTTAAAAAGGTTTCCAAGAACAAATAAGCAGGTAGTTAATAAAGAAGCCAGTAAGAAACAGTAAAGCCCTTGCTGTGGCACTGAGACCACACTTTTCTCTTTCCATGAGAACAAGATGCCTCTAATATGCAAAAAAGATCTTATCCTTGCTTGTAGAAATCTGCATGCAGGAGTGCACGGGGGCAGGGGAAGCTTTTGGTTGTCTTAGCAGGATCTGTTCTGGGACAGGTTGCAAATGATCCAGAAGGTGCTTTCTAAGTGCTTCCCTACCCCAGGAGTCACCTGCTTTCCCCAAGACACAGCCTCTCTCCTGAGCAGCAATCCCATTGACAGGGCCCATATATAGGACAAAGAGCTTTGCTACCCCTTCATGCTCCTCTTCCTCTCCCCAGCCCCTGACACAGTTGTTCAGAGTGACCTATCCTCTGAAGCAAAGTCTAGCCTTTTTGTCACTGGCTCTATGCTTTGTATGAAGATCCCATATGGATGACTACAAAGTAACACTGTTTTACAGGGATTTCTCCAGCCCTAAAAGAGGAAAAAAGAATTTGTCCATTTGGCAGATTCACGTCTGTGCTCTTCAGTGTTATGGTTCACAAAGTCCTGTATCCTAGCTCATTTCTAAAGGTTTGCAATGGTGACTTTCAACATTCACCTTACCCCACGACATGCCTGACCACTTCTGACCTGACCACAGCAGCACCTGAACAGAGAAGGAATGAAATGGAGGCATTGCCAAATGCTTCAGGGAGCATAAATATGGGGTAAAATCAGACACTTTCCTATTTGAAATATGTGCATTCTCTTTCTTTGCCAGTGCAGAAACACTTTTTATATACTCTTGTTTTTTAAACAGAAGAGGTTTAAATTAAAAGGAGACAAGACCATAAAAAGCAACAGTTGACTTTTACACTTGCATTTTCTCTAAGTTTATTTAGAAGTGGAAAGGTGCCTGCAGTGCTCTGTCTTGGGTCTCTGCTCCTTTTGCATTTTGAAAGCCATCACAATACCGCTGGCTGGAGTTGTTGCTGTTTGTCCCCTGCAGTCACTCGGAGTGACCTCAGCTGGTGCCAGAGTGGCTGAGAAGCAATTAAAGCACAGAGGGGCTTGTCTTGCTGGGGAACAAGTAACCTGCCCTGAGCACAGCAGGGAAGTCAAGCAGCCCTTAGAGGGAAGATGGGCCAACATCTCTCAGATCTATGGCCAGCACTCACAGAGCTGGCAAGGGAACTGCAGGAAACCAAATAGAATTTACAAAACCAGAAGACAACTGAAAAGAAACACTGCTCAAAGGCAAGACTGAACACATTTAGCATTTATTTTCTAAACCTGCCAACATCTCTTTTATGGTGCTTTTTTTCCCTTTAAAACAAGGTTACACATCTGTCACCTTTTAATTGAGATTTTTGGCACCAGGGTAGTTGGTGGTTTCAGTGTTTTCCCCACCTGGGGTATATTTTCATCTTCTTTTGTCTCCTCCTCTCTTTCTGTCTCAATCCCTTCTTTCATGGTGTGCTTTGGGAAATATATTTGTAGGTACAAGAGTGCCCGTCATCTTTTTTTTTTCCCATTTATGTTCTCTACCTCCCCTGTCTCTTTCTGTCTCAATCCCTTCTTTCATGGTGTGCTTTGGGAAATATATTTGTAGGTACAAGAGTGCCAGTCATCTTTTTTTTCCCCATTAATGTTCTCTACCTCCCCTTTTCTCAGCCAGCTCTGTGCTCTCTTAACCCTCATGAAAACATACGAGGAGAGCAGGAGGATGAACCACCAATGATTTTATTTTAGCAGGTAGCATTTATCAACACTGTTCTTGGTTTATACATAGTAAATTTCACAGAGGGTCGGAGAAAGAGGAACGCGGTGGGAAGCACTGAGCTTCAGCCTCGGGCACGAGGGTGTCCCTGGGGCAGCAGGGCCAGTCACAGTGACCCTGCAGGAGCCAGGCAGGGTCCCTTTCCCTCGCACAAGTGACACCCACCAGGAGGAGCCTCCCGTGGCAGGTTCTAGGGGCCATGGCAGCTTGCCGTGTTCGGGAAGCAGGGAAAGCTGCCCGAGTGTCAGCCCCGGGGGAGAGCGCAGCCTGCACTTCCTCAGCTCCCGACTGAATCCCTCGGTCGTGCTCTCCACGACCTTATACTTTCTTTGGACGTTAACACCTCCGCAAAGTGGGTGTTAAATGGTGTTGTTAGTGTCTGTAGCGTGGTTTTATATCCACTTGAGAAGTGTAAATGATTCTACAAGGTGCAGGGCAATGGAAAATCAGCTTTCTCCAGGCTCCAGCTGGCTGGGGAAATTCAGACTAACTCCTGTGGAATCCAGCTCCTACCAAAGAGCTCTATTCTTTCCCAAGTTCTTCAGGGCTTTTTTACTGTTCTTGTAAACACAACAACTGAATGGCTGGTGTGTTTATTTATTAAGTTTAAAGAGGCTAAGATGTCCTTGGCCAAGCAGGAAAAGACATTCAATTTCTGCCTGGCTTTTACACTCATTTGAGAATTTTGTCTCAGTTTCTGCTGAACTATGTGGTCCATCCAAGAAGCCCACACCTTCTTTCCCTGGCTCTTACTCTGTGTGTGGGATGTGGTGGCACATGTTGTAGATGGAATCAGCTGACAGGATGAGATATTCCCTGGGGTATGTTTCACTGACTAGGCACTACCTGTTCCTTCATCCTCTGAACTGTGCCACTTACAATTGCCACGCTCACCATGGGTAAGACTTCTCCCCCAGGCTTTGGCCATCCCTGGCCATGGTGACAGAACATCTGGCCTAGCTTCCTAAAAGGCATCAAATTTGGTGGTACATCCAAATAAGAGGATAAATTTTGAAATTAACTAGGATCCAACCTATTCAGGGTACTCAGGGTTGCAAGCAATGCCATCAACCTCAATAAAAAATAGACTTCTACTCCTTGTGCAGCAGCAGTCAGCAGGAGGAATCCTGCAGTACTGCACACAGGGACAAATGATTAAAAATCAGCGCCTGAAAGGGTCATTTAAGCTCACCTGAGCTACTCAATGCCCCTTGCAGTGCACCTGCCACCAGTCCCTTGGGTTTGCAGCCCTACAGAAAGGCCTTTGAGGGAAAGCCCAGCCAGGCATCTCATCGGGGCAGCACTGGCACTGCCCACTGCCCATCCCACACCCCTGGTGTGCCTTCGGGTGTGACCAGGACTTCACTGCGAGCTCTTGCAAACAGGTACTGCACAGTCACCACAGACAGTGCTGGAATGATCCTGCCAGCATTTGTGCCAGGGATTTACTGCTGTGGACCGTCAGGAGCTGTGAATTTGACCAGTTATCATGAGTTTTTCCTTGCACTTTTGCTACTGTTTCATTTATCCTGGGAAGCTCACCACTTATGTCTATTTTTGTAGACACAGACTGTACACTGAATTAATACTCTGAATCTATGGCTGAGAGAAATGCTGAAAGCCCTTCATAATAGCAGGGTTTGAAATGAACTAAGTAACCATGTCAGATTCTTATTTTTATTTTTGCCAAAAGTTTCATATTCCTTTATTTTCCCTCTGTTTCAGAAATTCAAGCACGAATAAACTCTTGAAAATTGGCACCAAAAGAAATTTCCAATTCTGATAAGTTTTAATCCAATAGAAAAGCAAATTTGAGTTCATGCATTGTTTACTTCCATAAGAAAGTTTTCTTACTGCCTATTTAATTTCCACAGAGATGCTATTGCTTATGTTAATAGGGTTCTACAACATATAAATCGCCTTTCTGTCCTTCCCTCTCTGAGAAAGAATGAATACATAGTGCTTTTCACTCAGGTATTTTTCTCAGTACATCCACAAGAGAAATGAGGGTTCTACCACATGAGGTTAGTGGGTTTAAGGAAGGGAAAGATTGTTTAGTATCTCAGTGTGATGAAACATAGCACTTAATGTACGTATTCTGCTAGTTCAAGGTGTGTTTTAGGAGAGGTTTATACTGTTTCCATGACAAATTAATAGGAAATTGGGCAAAATGCTGACTTTGGATTTTTGTTCTCTGTCCTTCAAACTATGTTGACTGAAGAGCACTAGATAATACAGCCAAGAAGAATAATTCATGGTACATTTACTGCTATTCTAGCATAGACAAATACACTCTCAGTTTTACTCTAGACCAAAATATTTTATACTCCTTTGATTTATCTTTGGGTAGACTGTTAGTGGCTGTCTGATACTGTCAAAGATTCAGATGCTCTCCACAATTCTGCTATTAGCTAATTTGCTGTGGGTCTCTTGTGCTAGGTTTTGGGATTCTATGTCTTGTTTTTATTCTCCTGACACTCTCCAATAAACCTTTGAAATAAGGGGTAAATTGGTTTTCTATGTCAAGGAATGGGCATATCACATACCCATTCATGTACATATGTACAACTTAAAACCAAAATGGGTACCTGACTCCAAGTGCTCCTATAA